GCGTCCTCACTAGCACTAAGAAGGTAGAGCACATCTGCCCGGTTCTCAGGTCCTCCCACTGGTTCTCTGTATCTCAGATAACAGGCTCAGCTCCAAAATATATAATAGACTTGTCTATTATTAACTACTCTGACCTCTCAGATCTTCTGGCTTTAATCTACTCTACATACCCAAAGAATAAAAAAACATTAAGCAGTTTTTAGTTCTTCTGCTCCACTTATCTGGAGCAACCTACCTGAACGCTGAATCTCCCAGGTTCATATAAATATACGATCAAAACCTATTTTGGAAAAGAGTTGCCATTGCATGTTTTATTTAACTTGTTAATTGAATCATATTTGGCAGTGCCAAACGAATTTCCTTTATCATGTCTCTGCAATGTACTTCCTGTGGGTTTTCCTATTTAAATTACTCAAAACCCTGTTGCGTCATCTTACACTGCTGCATATTTTTAATGAGTTAACCATTTGTGTTCAATATAGATTAGGGTTGGGCTATTTTGCCAAAACTTTTTTTTTTTTATGCAACAAACAAGTATACACGTTTGGCTTTATGGTTTTGCCCTCCGGACTCAGTGCAGGAGGTTGGAAACAAAAGAATCCGAAGTAAATTCACATCTCTGTTGGATAATATTTCCCACCCCATTCATGAAGCTGTTGCTGAACTGGAGAGCTCCTTCAGTGACAGACTGCTAAATGCACTAGGGAGCATCATCACAGATGCTTCTTCCCAGCAGCTGGAAGACTCTAGAACCACCACTGTTCCCTATAACCTGAAGTTGTTAGATTCATGCTGATTTTTACAGTGTCTGCCTTAATTAAATAACATGCTGCTGTCATTTTGCACATCTCTGATGTTGCTATTTTCAAATATCCATTACTATAAAAATGTCCATAGCTGTATATTGGTTAACACAGTATTTTGTTTATTTTTTTAACTCTTCACTATTATGTTTTTATACACTCTAAGGTCCACCTTTGTGTGACAATTTTTTTCTATAATCTTTTTGCTCGTGAACACCAGAATTCCCCCTTTGTCGACTGGGACAATAAAGGGAATTTTCTATTCTATTCTTTTCATGGCCTTAAATGCTTCAGTCCAGAGTCATCGTTACTGGACTTTACAGTTGTATGGAAAAGTGCTTACATGTAGTTCTTCTGCATGAATCTGTGTGTTGGCTGCAAATGTGTGGCAGCAAACGAACTTTAATCACATTAAAGCCAACTGGGGGGTTGGAGGGAGAAATTATCTACTAACATGACCCAAAGAAAAGGGTGCCTCTGATTTGGAAATGGTTTCATATATATATATAAATGTACACATCTAGCTATTTAACAGCATTTGTAATTATCCAGCCCTAATATTTGTGACCATTTCTTACCAAATTACTTATCCAGTATAATCTGAAATGTGAGCAAAAGAAGTTAAAAGTAAGACAGACATTTAGAATTTTACTAATGAGTCAACAAAAACCCAACCCGAATGAAATAAAAACAAAGGTGCAAGATGTCTTGTTTAACTTTACAAACTTAATGTTTATTCATATATACACGAATATATTAATCTATAACCAAGAGAGGAGAGACTGTACAATGCAAAACAAAATCTTTATATACAAATCAATAAATAAGACACAAAGACAGTTTGTCACCACAGGTTTTTTGTTCTTAAGAAAAAAAAAAAAAGAAAGAAAAGTTTGAAATCCTTCAGGAGAGAGTGGGAAAATGGCACTGAAGCAGAAATCCAAGGAAGAAACAACAAAACAAAAAGATTAAAACCATCAAAGCACACCTGGGTCCAGTTGGGTTTTTTCCTTCATGTAAAACTGGGTTTTTTTTTTCTTCCAAACTCACACATAATCACTGAATTCATTTTCAACAAGGGCAACAAAACACACACACAAACAGTCCATCACATCCGTCACCCCGCAGGGTCAGAAAACAACCATAAAGTCAGACACAGAGCTGCTGAAGAGACTGATCGTTTAGAAGCACAAACCAGATTAAGATCAACAGTCAAGTTTTTACTTTTCAGACAAATACTGAATACTGCCCAAAAATCGACCCTTCCTCCCCATTTTCAGTTAAAATTTGGGAACTCTTAATAAAAGAAACTGAAACACTTGGCTCATTTTGAAAATCAAGTTAACTGCGGGACGAAGAGGAAGGGTCCTGTTCATGGTCATCACAGGTTTCTCCACAGCAGTTCCACAAGCAACAGAAAAACTATTTTCACACACTTCCTGCTGCCTTTTAGGTCCGATTGTAAAGCGAGGGACTCGTTCTGGATCAAAGGCGATTATGTGAACAAAAATGAGCAACAATAAAAGGAGCCAAATACAGTTAGCTTTAGTTTCTTAATGTTTAAATTAATTTGATCACACACTTGGATCTGAGTTTTAAGATAACCTTGTAGGGATAGGATCTTTCAGTGATGTGAACGTTTTAGTTAGTGTACAATAAAGAAGTTAAGACTTTCAAATATAAAAATCCCAGCAGGATAAATTCACTGAAGTTTGGCTTTGCTCTGCAAACATGCCCGCTTTTACTTTCCTGGACAAAAATCAGCAAAACTGTCCTCTCCTAAGCGTGTCCAGACATGTTTTCTTTTTTTTTATTCCCATCTTCGTGTTCTCCCTCGAGTAAACAGTAAACACAGAAGCTAAACCGTTCCCATGGCGACACAAAGGCAGCCTCATCACTTTTTCTTTCTGTTTTTGGCACACGTTGGATCCGGCCTGCTGCCTCGGCAGACAACACGAGCGAAAATGGACCCATCGTGAAAATAAACGGTTCACAGTACCGATCGAAGGGGGAGGGAGGCAGGGAGTGAAGGGGTCAAAGGTCACAGTGTTTCACGATGACATCAGTGGCAGCAGGACGGCGTTCCCGCCCTGCTGCTCGTCTCACGTATTGCTTCTGCAGCTTTTTTAAGTTTGTGTTCGGGGCTCGTCGCTCGTTTCAGCATGAAGGTTACGAAGGAACAAACGCGCACGGATAAGAACAGACCAAAATAAAAAGGCAAAAGGCGGTTGCAGAGGCCTGAGCCGACTTAGTGTTCAACACTACACCATCGTGTCATTTCTTTTAGTGCTTTCCCCTCAATTCCCAGAATGCTGTGCAGCAATAGCTGCTTGGCACCAAATGTAAGCAGTGCAGAGGCAGTGGCAGACAGGTTTTACATTTAGGGCTTCAAAACAAAGCAAAGTGAGAGAGAGCTGCAACAAAGAGGCTGCTTTTGTGTGAAGTGAGGAACAATGGCAACAAAACAAGTTGGTCTATGTGAGGTGGGTGAAGAAAGCCCCTAAATGTGATGAAACCGTGTTCATGTGAAGAAAAGAAAATGTGGATCAAAGACACCTAGAAGTTTAAAAAAGACGAAAGAGGATTGAGAGAAGCACGATGGTTAGAGTTTTCTTTTATGGATGCTTGGAAGCATCACCGGCGCTTCCTTTAGGATTCACATTCATCTTATGTCTGAGTTTTCCACACGGAAACCCTTCCAACGGAGCTCAGACACGAGCGACTCGGCTGCATTCAGAGAGACCAGAGCTGATCCCAGCTGAAAACATGCAGCACATTTGGAAAGCTGAACGTATAGAAAAGGGTCAGAGGGCCGCCATGTTGGAAGAAATTAAACTGAATCGCAGAGATTCACTGAGTCCAGAGGATTCTCAGCAAGAAACCTGATAATCTTCATTAGAAATAAAAAAATGTGGATGTTTTTTCAGCTTAAAAAGGGATTAAAAAATGGATTAGGAACAGCAGCCATCAGTGCTTTAGTTTGGATCCATTACGACTCTGCATTAGATAAATAAACTCTTATTGTTGATTAGTTCAGATATTCTTAACTTATCAACTGAGGCATAAGAGTTCAGAGAGAAATCTGGTTCTTTTTATTCATTATAATATTTTTGGATCACTTTGTAATTTTCTTTCTCCTGATGATCATAAATATCAAAAGATCAAGTAAATCATCAAGTAAGACGTTCTATATGAAATGTAAACATTCAAAAAAACGGGTAAACTGATCTGGAATTAATTATTATTAATCATAGTTTGGATCATTACTCAAACTTTTAAATTATGACTATTTCCATTTTCAAAAATGTTATTTTTTATTCAATTCCTTCCAGGTTCTGCTGTAGGGTCTAATAAATGTTTATCTGTCAGGCTTTTACCACAGGAAGCCAGTGGGCGGGGCTTAACTGTTACAGACAAGCCGGTTGGTTCGCTGTTCAGTTTTCTAACATATCAGGGTCTATTTGACAAAAGTAAAACTTTTACTTGCACATTAAAATAGGAAGTACTAATAATTTAGTTCATAACTTATTTAAAATGTAAATGTACTAATTTCAATAAAGAAAAATGTAGATACGATTTAAAATAATCAAGCATAAACATTTTATAATTAGCATAACTATGAATTTGATCGCGGCACTTTTGGCCTTCCATATTTTTAAGGATAATTTAACTAGTCAACTCTCTCTAAATAGACATTTTGTTTTTGTTGCTTTTTTAAACTTCTGTGTTTTTCTTCCAACATGGCGCCTGGCGGTTTGGAGGAACATGGGAAACCATGAGAAGATGAGGAACAGCATCACATCAGAGCAAAGATGAGAAAAACAAACAAAAAAACAATAAACAAACAAACAAAGCTAAATAAAAATATTAAAAACTGTTTATATCATGAGTCTATAAACAGAAATCACAGGGTCCTTTCTCAGAATATGCTGCACAGACCGTGTTTTTCATATTTACATTCTGTCTGTTCAGTCTGTGTGAAGTGCGATCGCTCTGCTTGTTCTCCATGTAGTGGTTCTGACCTGGTAAAAAAAAACGCAAACGGAGGCGTTGGAGTTTTCTCTGGATTATGACGTTGCTTTGAAGCTTTTTTTTACCATTTCCTTTTTTTGAAAATACTGCAGAGTTTCAGACAAGCTTCTTTTCCTCCAGGTTCTGTTGACAAAACGGCGGTGAAATCCAGGTAACGCCGTCAGTGACGCTCCCAGCAGAAGCACGTTCTGAGCCTTAAAACGCAGAGCTGGAACCCTGGATCTCGTCTTGCTTTGTCTCTGGATGATGAGCGTTAAGAGTGTGATCCATTGAGGAGGATTAAAAAGTGAAGGTGCAGAAGGATGGTTGAACTGAGATGTAAACAAAAACGTGAGGCGTCAGATATTCAGATGTTTGATCCCAACCAGGCGGAAGGTGATGAGTCCGAGTTTGTCCCACTTTCCTGAGTTTGTAGCTGTAAGAAAACAAACTCCCATTTCCTCCAAGGGTCCTGAAGAAGCAACTCATCCAGTGAAGTGCTAAAGTGCCACAGAAAGGTCCGGTCTCTGCCTCAGTCCCAAACGTGGACGCTCCAGGTTGGCTCGTCTCTCCTGAGGACCAGAGACTGGGAGTCCAGCGGGTGGAGAAAGGCGGACCTCAGAAAATCCCTTTAGCGATCTTCAGTCCCTTCTGCTTCATGCGAGGCAGCGTTGAACTGGCCACGGTCTTGGCCCGCACCGGCCGGCCCAAGCCGCGCTTCTTTAGCACAAAGTCGTAGTTGGCAGTGGAGTTCATGGCGTAGAAGACGTTGGCGTTATCTGGAATCCGGAGCTCTACACATAGAGAGAAAACATGGATCAGTGCATTCTGACTTCACCACTACGGCTGAACGATTTTGCCAAAAATCAAAACTATTTTAAACCAATATTAGGATTTTATTTCAAAGAACTAACCACATGCTTGTTCATGTTTTACTTCAATGTTTCTGTTTTTTTCATTCCCTTGGAAGCTTGCCTGTCAGGAGTCCATTGTTGCAGGACTGAACTTTAACCTTTGTTTGGAAATGGGCCAACTTCTGCAAGCCTAGATCTGCGTGCTGATTGGAAGATTCTTTCCTTTTTAGTGTAAGCAAACCCCCTTTAAGCATATGAACATCAGTTAAGGTGCTGGAATGAGAAATTAGTCCCTTAGTTTTGTTAAATGTGAGCAAAATTGAGCAGCTCTGCAATGAAAATGTTTTTATTTTATTTTTTTTATGTGAATAAAATGTAAATGCAATGAATTGCCCAACCCTCTTCACCACAGTCTGCTGCTTTTACCGATTCTACCAGCTTTGCACATCTACAGCTCAATCAGATGGATAGAGAGCATCTCTTATCAAGTGTCCTTAGAACGGCCTAGTCAAAGTCAGGACCTAAATCCATCTAACGCAGGAACGGGCTTTGATTGAAGCCCCCATGTCACCATCAGTCTTAAGTCTTCCGAAGCCTCTTACTGATTTGCTTAAGCTCCATTTCTGTTCCAGATGAAAAACACCCCCTCGCCCCAGCATGAAGCTGCCACCACCATGTTTCACTATGGGAATAGCATACTAATGGTACAACGGGGTGTTATTAGAGAAGGACCTCTTCGTTCCCACTTTTGTCTCGTCGCAACTATGGCTTGTTATAAACTGGTGTCTTTCTTCCTGCTGCTCTTACATGAAGGCAATGTGCTGCACTGGAATTTACTTAGGAGGTTCATTTCGAAGCATTTCTGAAACCACTTATTTTCTTCCACTTTACATTTGGATATGTAATTTTGTTGATCAATAAAATCCATGAAACAAAATTAGAGTTCCGCACTAATTGTAACTTCTCAGGCTGCGTGTGTCAGGGGGGGATCACTTGGCTCACCTTTGTCCTCTGAGATCTTCTGCATCAGCTCGTAGTCCTCGGTTTTCTCCCGCTCCAGGTTGTGTTTGATTATGGCCTTCCTGATCACTGCTGGGGTTTTGTCTTGACTGGTCACCTGAAGGAAGAAGATAAATAAAAAAAAGTCAAATCCACAGAGACGTTTCCTGATTTGAAAACATCTGTTAATTGAAAAATATTGAAACAAAAGCAGAGAAACTGACCAGGATGCTCTTATACATGTTGCCGTTTTCCACATCCAGGCTGACCCTGATGATGCAGCAGTCGTCCACCTGTTGGTTGTATAGCGGCAGCGACAGCGTGGAGTAGTTGGACACCGCCGACACTGAGCGTTTGTGGGAGCGGGAGGCGGACAGCGGCGTGGAAGAGGAGACCGAGGAGGAGGACGTGCTGCTGGAGCCCGAGGCAGAGCCGGAGCTGGATCCCATCCCAGAGGTGTCCAGGGAAGACAGAGACGTGCACTCCCAGAACTGAGGAGGACACTGCACAGGCGTTACCAACCAAAATAAGTCGGTGATAAATCAATAGGATAAAGCAGAAAACATTACAGTCAATACCGTTGAGGTCGTATCCGCAGCTGGAGCTTCTCTCCCTAAAGCAGAGACGGTGAGCTTCACTGAAGGAGTCGATGTCTGGAAAGAAACGCAGATGTTTTAGAAGCTGGACATGATGACGAGGCGTTCAGGCTCCTAAGATCCCATCAGACTTCCTGCCGTTCACCTTCCTCTCGTGTCCCTCCGGTGAATCAGACAGAAAGCTGGTGTTCACGTCCTCCAGGTCCGACCCGCTGGAGCTGACAGACGTTACACTGAGGGCGTCGCCGCTGTCCCCGCCTCCTCCTTGGTACGGTCTGTAGTGGGAGTGGTCGAAGGACTTTGAGTGGGAGCCTGCGCCGCCGCTGCAGCCCGCCTCCGTCAACTGCCGGCTGGACACAGAAATAGAAGCGTTAGTCTTTGTGCAGAAAAAGACTGGAAACCGTGTATAAAAGCTGATAAATACTGACTCGCTCCATCGCTTCATGATTCCTCCGTTCTTCTTGGCTCTCAGCGTGTTGCTGGCCGACTCGGACAGAGGCTCGATCTCACAGGACAGATTGTAGCTGAAAATTACAACAGATTTTTTTTATTTAACATAAAGTGTGATGGAGATGGTCACAGATTCAGCTCAGGAAAATTTGTTAAACCTTGGAAACAGTTTTATTCTTTGAAGATATAATAAGGAGAAAGTTTGAAAAAATAGTTTATAACACAGTAGGGTTGTGTTTATGGACACGTTAAAAAAATTCAATGTGATCATTTATGACCTAAAACTTTTATTTCTGTGTTAAAGCTGTACAAAAATAAAATGGGAAACACTGAATTTTATTGGCCAATTTTAAAATGTAAAAAACCACAAAAAACTATAACGCTGTATATTTGAAAAATTGTTTCATAAAATGTTAAGCAAAGTACACTTACTTAAAAAATGTAATAAAACATAAAATAAGGATGTTCCAGTTTAAAAACAGTATATTTTTCTGCATTTTTTTTCTTAAATACACTTTCTCTCTGTTTCATTTTCAAAGTTTAATAATATTTAGGTTCATAGGGATAAAAAGACCAAAAATAAATCAAATAAACTGTAACACTTTTTTCAGACTAATCAAAAACAGAAAGAAAATGAAAAGTTATAATCTTGAGATTTGACAAACAATTAATTTATTAACATAAAATACTTTTAAAATATAACTTCCAAACTTATATAGATCCGTATCTTATACATATCATTTTGTGTTTTTTTTTCACTGTATTTACTCCTTTAATCTCAGACAAGTTTAAAGTACTGGTTTATAGAAATTTTATTATATTAATCATTTTAAACATAAAATTAATATTTTCTAAACATAATCTTCATAACATGCACAAGTATCCTATTACATAGCATTTTATATATAGATTTTAAAATGCTTTTTGTTTTTTCTCCTTTAATCTTAGAAATTTGTTTACAGTTAATTCAGAGTCAATATTATCATTTTATATATTTTCTACCACCCTGAAGCTTTTACAAACCACTCAAAATGTGAACTTTAATTTGCAGAAAAAGAAAATGGAAAAACTGCCTTTTTAATCCTCCAACATAATCATCTTTATATTTCTATATCAGGCCAAGGCAAAGATGAACAAAGATAATATAACAACATTTTCTCCAGTGATGCATGGGCTATTCATACACTGATGTTAAAGGCATAATTTTTAATAACTTAAAAAACTAAAACGGCAGAATAAAATAAAAAAGGATAATCTGCTTGTCGTGGTACCTTTCTGCCTCGCTGAGTTTCTCCACGGCTGCGAACCACTCTCTGAAGTGGATTTCCTGAGTGAAGCTGTAGTTGTTTGAGGCCAACTGGAGCAGTTTGATCTGAGCTATCACCTCAAACTCCTGCAAGAACACAAGGAGAATCCAGTGTTGGTGTTTCAGCATTTTAAATATTAGAAGCTTTAGACCTGGAAAAGTATACATACCTTTCTCCTCTTCTCAAAATTGATCAGACCTCCCTGAAAAGAAACAAAAAAGGAGCATAAAACTTCCAGTAATTAATAAGAACTGATGGCAACAGGGCCGTTATCAGCAGTGCTTAAATTCAAGACTTTTTCACTTTATTTTTTTAATTGCAAAAAGATTTAATTTCTGATTGAAATCAGATTTAGTGGCAAAATTAATCATGATGTTTTTCCACATTAAAATGATCGAAAACATATTTTAGACAGTGTAGGAAATGTGTTAGAGGATGGAGAAATAGAAAAATGGCCAACCTCGGTGTAATCCTTCATGGCAGTGTCCATCATCACAAGATCAGTCAGGAATGTCCCCAAATAAGGAATGGTCCCCTGCATGACCCCCTGATCAAAGAAAAATCATTAGTGCAGGTAAAAACCAGGATGCTCTTTTCAGGGCTTTACTAAAGACACAATCCCGAATAAGCAGCAGATATAATCCGACACATGACCTGACAGCTAGGGCCTACTAACCTGACAACAGCCAGATGCATGTCTCAGAATGACAGCGCGCACTGATACGAACAGAGAGAAAATAGGACCAAGTGATAACGACGTGTGACTTTTTCCACTACAATGTTTTTGGGATGCAAAAATATCGCTCTTTTGAACACATAATGTTTTGGGAAGAGAAACGTTTTATTTCGCTGGGTCTAGCAAACCTGCCGGATTACTTTCGGCTTGACCAAAGCTGGACGATAACTCTGCTCACAGGATGCTGCCAGGGGTAAGTCAGTGTGATTGCATGACACTGGTGATGGGGATGCCATACAGATTCATGTCAAAAATCCCGAACTATCCCTTTAATGTTGTTCTAGAAATGAATCGGGTCTCACCAGGTCTCTCTGCTGCTGGTGTCTCCTCTGCGCTCGTTTGGGGTTGATTTCTAAAGTTGCAAACTTCGAGGTGCCCTCCTGCAGAAACAACAGAACATGTGCAGAATGTCTTAATGCTTTGTTGGAGATCTGTGTGTTTGAAAAAGGAAAAAATAAAATATCCAAACGGACATTATGACTCCTAGACTGGATGAGAATGAGCCCTTGTTCTACAGCTCCCCTGACCTGTGGAGTCCCTCCAGGCTCTATTCTCAGTAATCTGTTTAGTAACATTTAAAAGAAAAAAAAATTCCCTTCCAATGTTTCGCTGATGACATTCAGATTTATTTTCCTCTTTCCTACTCCAACTGTTCTTGACCGGTCTGACAACGAAATAAGGTTGAAACTGATCTAAAAAGAGTTAAATCAGACAGTTAGATAAAATGTCAGAATGAAATTGGATTGTCATAGTTAGGTAATAGATCAATGTTTATCTTTTCATTAATGGACCACGAAGACATTTCAGACTTAAATCTCTGCTTAAGAATTCTCTTTGTTCGTTTCAGTTTGATTCTGGAAGCTGCTGGTAGTTTTATGATGTATTTAAATATTTTGTTTTGCATTTTAGATTTTTGTGTTTCTTGGCTCTTACGTACCAATATCAACACAATGGTTTGTTTGGGTTTTCCACCTTTAGTGCAGAGGAAAAGTTTAATTTATATGAGAAACCTAACTGAACTCTTTCCGATATCTTTGGTATCAACTTCTGTACAAATATATAAACAAGTATATACTATATTATAATCACCCCCGAAAATTCTGCTTTATTAAATTTATTTAAGAGTTATAAACATTATACCTTTTTTACAGCATCACCTCAAAGTGAAAATGTATTAAAACCAGATAAAAAGTAGAATTTTATCAACAGATTTTAATGTTTTTTAAAAACAGTCATTGTCAGAAATTTTTTTTAAAAACTTAAAAATCTGTATTTCAAAGAGGGAAGATTTTTCTTACGGAAAATGTTTTACCCCTCTTCATTCAAAAATATTTAAACAAATCAGGTTCAAAGAATTGACGTTGGTGAAAGGTTATTTTAATGATACAACAGTGATTCTGGGAGAGAAAGTGGGAAGAAATCCACTTCTCTGCATTCCTAGCATATTTCTCAGAGAGCCTCTGTGTCTCCCTCTACGTCCGAACGGCGCCTGGTCTGAGAAGATAGACGGAAAGAGAGGCGACGCCCTGAGGTCGGCCCATCAGAGGTGCTATCTACAGTCGCACCGGGTTTCCTCCCTCTGACGTCAGCAGGGATTCCCTCTCAGGGGGCCCTGCTTAAAACTCTCAGGTTACAAATATGTGAACTTGAGCTCATGTCAGTTTTCCCAGAAGAGCAGATTGTTGTAGAGAGGAAAGTAGTTCCAGATGTTTGGACTGAAGATGCATGTAAGAGCACCATAAACCTGACAGCTGATTATTCGGATCTTCATTCCGTTCAGTGTTAAAGAATAAACCTCTGCTTCAGGAAAACATCTGGGGCAGATATGAAGACATATTATTCAGAGAAATTATAAAAAGAAAAAGGCTTTCTACTTCTTTAAACAACTCTACAAACAATGCAGTTCAGCAGTCCTAATTGCAGTTACCTCAGCTGTTCCACTAGGGGGAGCAAAGTTAAACCCTCACATGGTGCCACCGGTTACGGTTGCTCGGTGGGACAACCTGCTGAGGTCTAACCATCTATTTTAGCCAGCATACACCTGAACATGAGCTCTATTTCACGGTCATCAGGGAATCAGTGAAGTGAATGATTGATGAGTTTTTTTATCCGAATGGAAGGAATAGTATTTTTTTGGTTGTTTGCATGTTTAGGTAATCAGAGGAAATATTCACAGCTCTTAAAGCTGATTTATACTTCAAAACTAGGTCGTCTGCGTAGGTGTCGCAGTGAACTAAAAGACGTCCCCGCCCCCTCCGCAGACACTCTGCTGCACATCTCCCCAAATTGTAGCTGACCGCAGACCGTGCCGCAGACAGGAGGCTGGCTGGTTTTGTTTTTATGACCGAAATTGCAGAAAACAACCCACGAAGTTGGACCAGCTAGAGGTCCAACTTAGGTGCGCTGGGACCCTTTTTCCACCTGGATCACCGCTTTTTTTCACCGCCATGTGCCTCCGTTGTCAGACAAACTTGCCCCCACTTCCTCTCTGCCTTGGCCGTATCTAGACCCACAGCGGTACCGTGCTCAAAATTGGGAATAAAGCTCACTGTGACACACTGCTGCGGTAGTATAACCAGCCTTTAAGGTACATATGCACATTAATGTTTTAGGTAAAGGAATAAATGGAAATAGTTACTTAAAAAACGCCCCCCTGTTGGTGGGGGATGTTATTTCTAGCTCTTTTCTTTGGACAAGGACGGGTCAGAGTCCTGCATTTGAACTTTGCGTTGTGAAAAAAGTGGAATGACAGGAGGAAAACTCAGATCCGACCCAGAGCCCGGCTTAGATCCGCAGGAACACTGACTGAGTCCAGACTGCAGGATGTTTCCCTGCAGCTGCGAAGGGAAAAGTTCACATCCTGCCATCATTTCTCAGTTATGCAACACACGGCGACTGATTAATGAATTTATTTTCCAAGTAAAGGAGAAAAAAAAAGTAGCTCCCACTTGAATAAAAACACGTTTAGCAGCAGTTTCTTTGTTCTGCGACAGACTACTTTAATATCAAGCTGAAACCCTTCTATAAATGAATAAGAAATCAACATTTAAAAAAAGGAGTAATAGTAATTGCCATAGAAAATTCTGAGCTACCAAAATAATTTGACTCTAATTTCCTTCCTCTCAAGCATATGTTTCCAAGTCTGTTTGGAAAAGACTCACCTTCACCAGCAGCTCTCGACTCAAGGAATAGTTATTATCATCTGAGAAGATTTCTGACAGCTCGCGGAAGGTTCTGACACTTTCCCTGTGAGCAGAGGCAGAATTCAGAGTCCGAAACGCCCCAGAAGAAATCTCTATAGAAGAGCTGGGTTAAAGCCAGGAGTCCAAACCTACCGAGAAACTTCGTCCCATGTCCTCTTCAGGCGGTGGATTGCGTTGCACTGCAGGGCAGAGAGGATCGCTCGCAGCGAGGAGAAGTTCTTCAGGATCCGACATTCCTGATGGGAAAAATGATCCGGAGAGACGAATAAAAATGTGGAGGCCTTAATTGATCCCACCTCTAAGTGTCAAACAATCAACACGTCATCTCACCCGCGCCACATCGATCCACCTCTCGATGAGCCGGGCTCTCTGGTTGGGCTTCAGCGTGGGGTTGCTCAGGCAGGTGGTGATCACACAGTTGGTCACTGAGTTGAACTGCGCCACAGTGGCTCTGATGGTGGGAGCCAGATGCTCCTTGCCTTTCTTGTCCCGCTGAGACCAGATGCCCCCCAGGCAGTGGTACGGCACCACCTTCTTAAACAGGTCCTGGAAGGACATGAAGACACAGAACGGCAACCGTTTAGAGAGCAGCTTCCTTGGGCGGGTTTTTAAACAATAACCAAGACCTTGACATTGATTCCACTTTTCTCTCACTGTACAGAAAAATTAAATATAAATAATATAATAACCTAAAAATGGATTATATTAGTGTATTTAATCGTTTTTTTGGCCGATACATCTGAATTAGATCCTTAACTGCACTGCAGACTTCACTTAATCCTGCGGTCGGTACGCCATGGCTGCAAAAGGTCCTTTAACAATGGATAATAAATGCAGGTTTTAGCAGTTTGAGCGAATAAGATCCTTTGTCACTGGACACGTAAACATTAACACAAAATCAATACTTGTTTTTGGACTGACAACTGAAAAAATAAAATACTAATATAAAAAATGGGGCATATATTAGAAAAAGAATAAAATAAGAATGATAAATAGGGTAATATGAGAGCGTACTTTGCATCTATGTTTGATGAAGAGAAGACGTAGGGATCTATAGAGGGACTTTTGCTTTAAATTAAGGGTAAAGCAGGAGAAAGTGCTTGAAATAAAAATTAAACAAATTAATATTAATCAAACTCCCAATATTGAGTTTGATTAGTTTGCTTTAAATCCACCAAACAGAAATTTAAATTCAAATCCAAAACTTCATATCCTTTTTTCTAACTTTGGGTTAAAGTCGATGCTTTTACCATATTTTTCTTCTACAAATGTATTTATGATCTCAAAGGTTTTTATTGTTCTAGAAAAAAAAATGGGGGAAAAACAAATAGGAGCATTTTTATAATAAAAAAACATTATTTCAAAAACCAGTAAATGGAAATCTAATTGGTTAATTTTTTAGTAAACAGGCCTCTGGATCAGTTAATTTGGATTACGTAGATTAACTGTTCCAACCAGGAAAATGATTGAAGTGCTTTGGAACATTTCATGTTTCCTGGTGCTCGCCATCAGAGACTGAATGTGACTAAATCTGCCGACAAGGGAAGGAAAACCTCCTCACTGCGTCCATGAGTGTGAACTGCTCCGCCACCATGATGGGGTCAAACGACAGGAAGCTGAAAGCAGGAAGCTCGTCCTCAAAGCCGCTTTCTTCCTGCGTAGCGAAAGGGCAGCCGATGTTTTCCCCTAAAGAAAAACATTTTTTTTTTTTTTAAACAAAAGCTGCATCCATCCGAGTTCAACCTAAACACACTTCCTGCTCACCTAAAGCTCATCTACATCTAAGCAGCTACATATGATGCAAAACTCATTTATGAAGCTTAATTCCTGCTTCTAAAGCCGACCGGCTCCCTCTCCTCTGTTCCTGCCTTCATACCATCGGGATCAGGCTCACACTGCTGTCGGCGGTGGAAGTGGGCCAGCAGGTTGCGGGCGCGGCGCTCCAGGTCCGAGCCGGGGAAGTGGAGGTGGAGGTAAGCCAGGAGCTGGTGCAGACATTCGTAGTTCGGAGGGCTCCAGAAGTCCTCTGAGTATTGGTCCAACCACGCGCCCAGGATGGAAGAGACGGTGCTGAAAACACCAGCAGGATAATAATAAACAATCTGTTCACTGTAAAACAACACAGAGAACGTGTTCAATCTGCCTCCAATTAAACTAATCATGGCTGCTATAAACACGTTCTTGGGTTTAACCACTGAATTCCAGCGCAGCCGAGGCTGGAACTCCACAAACAAAAAAACTGGGAAAGGAGAAGTGGTAAAATTGTGGTTTGGTGTTTTACAGTCAGCTGTTTGCAGAATCATATCTAGAAAATGCAAAGAGTGCAGAGAATGTATCTAGAACAGAGACCTGGACCATAGTGATGACCTGTTTTATTAACATGGCTCTTCAGGAAGGAGAGAAAAGGTGATTTATTACACCATTTATCAGTTCATGAACCGTTCTGTGTTGAACCCCTTTCAAGGGAAAAGGGAGCTCTACTGAGAGCTCGTTTCAGAGGAGTTGAAGCCGTCTACTCACTTCCTCAACTCTGTGCGGTCGTCCTGGGAGACTCGATGTGCGGAGACAGCAGGGATGTTCTGGAGCTTGGCGTACCTGAAACACATAAGATCAACTTGATTAACAGACGGTGAAAGAACGAAGCTCCCAGGTAGACGAATATTTTCACACACTGGTTGTTGTCAGAATGAGAAGCATGTCTAAGGACAATTTAGAGCAATACACCTATAGACTTGTTTTAGACTGTTGTACATTCAGGAGGTTCTGTTTGCCAGCTAGGCTTCTATGCAGCCCTAAAGGGCTCTAATGATCTACTGCCATAAGAGGAAAGAATCAACAGAGAGCCATAAAAAGAAAATACATTTTTTGTCTTTAGCCTAAGAGGAAAATTTGGCAGAAGGAGGGAGACTATGCAGCGCTTTTGACCTTTATGTCAGCCAGAGTAGGGCTGAAAGCATTAATTCCTTTAATGAAAACTAATTTAGCAATTGATTAATTAGCTATCTTGACTATGCAGACTGCAACACATGCCTCTAGCTGAAAGAGCAATCCACTAAGAGCAGCAATTATGCCCAAATAAAAAAAAATATATATATATATAAAAACGTATCATTCAAGATGCTCTATCCAGAACTGCTCAAGAGGACCAGTTTAGCTTTACTTGCTGTGAATTATGTCCAATTCTGTCCAATTGGACGCCTTTTGCTGTCCAATTATTAAAAGAATATTTTAAGAAATATACAACAGATTCATTAGTTGGCTAAATAATCTCTAGTTTCATCCCTTAAGGTCTGGTAATACTCCCCACAGCAGTGTGTCACAGTGAGCTTGTTGCAGATATTTTAGATTTTTGCCCCATATTGAAGCGTGGTCTGCGCTATGTTATTCCATGCCACAACGCATCACGAACTAGCTGTCGGTCTAGATATGGCCGAGACAGTGATAAAGCGGGGGCAAGTTTGTGTGACAACAGAGGGACATGAGGGCCAAAAAGAGCGGGGATCCAAGAGGAAAAAGGGACCCTGCGTTCTTGCGCTCCTCGCTCTTTTAGCTGGTCCATCTTCACGAGTCATTTTCCACGATGGCGGTCATTCAAACAAAACAAGCCAGTAAAGTACCAAACAGGAAAAAGGCATCGTGTAGAACGGATGTAGAGGTGACCAATCAGAGGCCTCCTGTCTGAGGTCACCTACAATGTTGGAGAGGTGCAACAGAGTGTCTGCGGAAGGAGCGGGGGCACATCTGCATTCACTGCGACACACAGATGACCTGGTTTCTGAGAATAAATCAGCCTTTAGTCTTGGTTACATTAGTGACACCACTCAAAGTCGGACTAAATCTGAATGTTGATACTTCATGTAGGTTCAGGTTCAAACTATTTTTTTTATTTTGAATTTCCCATGAAGCGGCGTTGATGTCATGCATTGTTAAAACTGCATTATGGGTGCAGTTTTATGTTTGTTCATTATGAAGCAGCACCATCTATTTGAATCACGACGCATATTCTTCCTAATCTCTATGGAAACCGATTAATTTCTTCTTCTTACCTGTTGAGCAGGAGATCCAGCACCTGCTTGGTGGTGGCGAAGGAGCGGTAGGTGCAGAGGAAGATGGTGACGTAGGTGGAGTCTTTGCCCTTGAAGGCTGACACCATGTACTCCACCAGCCTCTCCAGCGTCCCGGCCTTGATGGTTCGCACTTTGCACGTCTCATAGAGGCTCAGGGCGGAGTCCGTATCCACACCCAGCCACCGCTGCCCCTTGCTGGCTGACTGGTGGAGCTGCATCTTCCTCAGCGTGATGGTGAAGATGGCATCCTCCTCCGCCTCCTCGCCGATCTCCTGGGTCGAGCTCTGGAAAGAGAGAGAGAAAAAAAAAAAGGAAGGCAAGATGTTTTAGTTTAGAGCAGCAGATTCTTGTTCCAAGCTGACATTTTTGACAAGTCAGCCTTGAAAGAGCTGATTCTGGTGCAGGACGCTGAGAGGTGAGGCCTTTAATTACGGCCATCTGTGCGACCCTTTGTTGGCTCGTCGCTGTCTGAGTCATGCTTTGTGAATCATGTGTGCGGCCGTGCACAAACAACAATAGCAGGTTACTAAACAGAGCTCGCTGGATAACAGTGTCAACAAAACAAGCTGCAGCCTGTGCAGAAACTGCATGAATGTGGTCTCTGTAGCCTGCAGCCCTTCGCCAACGCAACATCGGTTATGTTGTTGATGTCTAAAAAAAGATGAAAGAAAACATGAAGCTTTTCATGCGACGCATCAATTATGTGATGGACTTGTCCTGAAAGAGTGTGATTCTGAATTCTCTGGATCAGTGGAACAAACTCAACCAGATGTGGCTTCATGGCACAAGTATAGCATCTGTTCTGTTGACTTATTCAAGAGCCCCAAATACAGCGAGCGTCAACAAAGCAGGCTGGGTAATCATTGCATTTGATTATAAACTGTTTCCAGTTGTGGAAATGGGGTCAAAGGTTAAACAGGACTGAGCTGCCTGTAAAGTGGAGACGCTACATGAATAGAAAGAAACAGAAAGCTAGGCTCCACTTTAAAGAGCAAAAACATCAAACAAAAATAGAACCTAGAGAGAAAAAAGCTGATCGCTTTTCTGAGTTTAATCCTATTCAGCTGATGTCTCTTATGGAGCAACACAAACCTTTAAACAAGGAAAAAAAGAAAAGAAAATGGCAGGATTTTTGCTCCTAGTTATCACAGAGGAATGCATTTCCAATCAGCTGTTTGTTTCCCTGCAGTAAAGAAAAAACCGTCCCAGTGATCTGAGGCACATCCAGAACCACCGGCAGCACCGGGGAAGGAAAGCGGGAACATGGCGTCCATCAGTCACAGAAACCGCAACTTTACCGCCTCCGTTGTCCAGGATCTGTTTGCCAACATCTCAACCTGCTGCTTCCTCTGCTTCCATGGAAACTAGCTCTTATTTGGCGAAGCCGTTTCATCAGGCAGATTATGAAACACTTATGATCTTTCCTGGCCATTAATCGACTTATTTGTTTTGATTGTCGCACTTTATTTAAAAAAAAAAAAGCACCCACAATCAAAGGTAGCAAAGAAAACTCAATGTTCTGTCGGTTCAATCTTTTTTCCCCTCCTCTGCTGTCTAAATGTTTAGAGTTTGTGTGTTGATCTGACCCCGCAGGGTTGCTATTGGAAATAAGAACTTGCTTCTGATTAATTAAAATCTGGTAAAATAAAAACCAGCTCAACCCTGCTTGGAGCATCAAAAACTTAAAGCCAGAACCCGTTAGCCACCAGTGCAGAGCTTATTAGATACCAAGCTTATCTGTTCTGCAGAAAGAACAACATAGTCGAATGTGATGCCAAAAGTGGAGGATCCTGAGAATTGTGTCCTACTTCTTCACACATGTAGGATCACTTTGGTCATGATCCATGGATTGACGGAGCTCTATGGTGCAAAGAACAAGTGATAAATTGGACGTGTGTTCAGGAAAATCCTGAGGTCTAACCCCCACTGAGGTCCTGTTTTTTGGTCCGAGACAAGCCAACAAAGTGAGCTCAACCACAGAAACAGGTCACCATCACAGACAGTAAATAAAAACAGATGAATGTGTGGATGAAGGAAAGAAGCAGCTCTTCAGCAGAACTAAAAGGGATGTGAGACCTCTGGTCTGCAGAACAAGCAGAGGGGGAGGATGTGAAAGATAAACGAGGAGAGAAGAAACAAAGTGTTGTAAATCCCGATCTGTGTAAAAAACCCTGAGAAACAGCTGCAGCTGAAGGCCTCGACAGCAGGGAGCTGCTATTCGACTGAAACCACAGAGGCTGCTATCACTTCAAACCCTACAAACACACAGAGAGCTCAAGGGCAGCGCCCCGCTCCATCCGTTCAACATAATGCTCCTATTCATTCCTCTAACAGCCAGGATGAGAGCTTCCATGATCAACCACACTTTCCATGCTGCTAAACAAACAGCTCGATACTTTCATTTTAAGAACCAGAGTTTTCCTTTTTTTAAACAACCAGATGAGAGGCAGGCCAGTCCCTCCAAACCAAAACACACATCTGCCCTCCACATTATTGTCATCAACTCCAATCTAACCCAAGCAGTCTGCAGCAGTAGGTGGAAAACTATGAACAGGGCTCACATTCCTTCAGCCTGACTCGGAGCGTCGTCAAACATCCTGGTTACAAACAGGAAAAAAAGGGGTTTTAAAAATAAAACACTTCACCGAAAGTGACTGTCAGAGCAGCAGGACGTGCAGCTCGGCGTTTTATGGATGCAGCCAGGACAAAGCCACATGTTCAGCCTCTCATTCCATTCTATCCTCTTCCTGGATTGCCAAACAAAAAACAGAGTGAAACACCGGCCACTTTATTAGGTACACCTGTTGACCCAAATCTTTAAACAGCCAATCACATGGTAGCAACTCAATGAATTCAGGCATGTGGACATAATCGAGATGATCTGCTGTAGTTCAGAGCATCAGAATCGAGGAGAAAGGCGGTTTTAGTGACATGGTGGCTTGATCCAGACGGGCTACTCTGAGTATTTTGGAAACAAGTGATCTACTGCAATTTTCCTGTACAATCATCACTAGGGTTTACAGAGAACGATAAAACATCCGAGAAAGAGAAAACATCCAGTGAGCGGCAGTTCTTTGGGCGCAAATGGGTTGTTGATGTCAGAGGAGAATGACGAGACTGGTTTGAACTGATAGGAAGGCATTGGTAATGAAAATAACCATGCATTACAACCAAGAGAGCATCTCTGAATTTCTGCATCTCTGAACGCGTCAATCCTTGAGGCGGAAGTCCTGATGTAGACCCCACCAGGTACCACTCCTGTCCACTAAGAACCATAGACTGAGGCTTCAATAAGGTCAATAGAAGATTAGAAACCCGGTGCCCCCATTTCTCCCAAGATTCAGATGTTAGGGTCAGAATTTGGCCTCAACATGAAAGCATGGATCCCTCCTTGTTTGTATCAACGGTTCAGGCTGCTGGTGGTGGTTTAATGTGTAATATTTTCTTTAGACATGTTGGGCCCCTTAATATCAACTGATCATTGTGTTAATGCCACAGCCTACATTAGTATTGTTTTTTTTGGACCATGTCCATCTCTTTATGATCACAGTGTAACCATCTTCTGATTGATATTTCCAGCAGGATTATGCTCCATCTCATAAAGCAAGAGTCATTTCAGACAGTTTATTGAACCCAATAGAGCACCTTCAGGATGTGGTGGAATAGGAGATTCATCATGGATGTGCAGCTGACCAATCTGCAGCATCTACATGAGGCCATCATGTCAATATGGACCAAACTCTCTGAGGAGTGTTTCCAGAACCTTGTTGAATAAATGAAGTTCTGAAGGTGAAAGGAAGTCCAACCCAGTACTAGCAAGGTGGACCCAATATAAAGCTCGGTGAGTGTATAAGATAAGCTGCATCGCCTCTCTAAATGTTACACACTGCTCCTTTAAGTTAGATCTTTGCATATTCCAACAGACTGGTCTTCTCTAGCAGCAGATAGATCTGCTTTGTAGGACAGAGACATGACTGAGAGCTTTTTAAAAAGTTTAAAGCAGAGATGCACTGATCCAATACTCCGATGGGATATCAGCTCCAATATTTACCAATTAGCTGGATCGGATGAATGAGGCAGATTCGGGATTCTAATCCAGACATTTCTACTCTTATTGATATCATACACAGCTATACAGTTACAGAGATCAAGAGACTTTAATTTCATGATTGCCAAGCTGATTAAATCATCATACAGAGCACATGCAACAGATAGTGATGATTTATTTTTGCTCAGTTTTTTCCCCTAATGGTGATGTCAAACATGATGGCTTTACTCATAGTATACCGCCAATTCATTCAATATTAGCATCACATATCGGCTGATACACTCAGTCCAGTTATCGGTATTACAATGGATCATTCAATCTCTAGTTTGAAGATGAGCCTTTAATCCAAATGAGACCCAAACTGCTTCTACCTGATGTTATAAAGTTCAGTTTATCTCAATGAAATTAATAGAGCTATAGTTTTTTTTTTTTTTTGGTCAACAACCCTACAATATGGCGCCCTGGCAGGGTGAGAAGCCGTCCACCTGGGAGCACCATGCCATCTGCTGCGCTGCTCTTTCTAACATGCAGCACTACATATTAGACTGGTAGAAATGAGCTCAGATTATGGGAGCAGCACCAACCTGCAGCTCCAGCATCATCCTTGCCCAATTCCTCTATTCACTCCCCAACAGTCCACCATTGCTTCTCTTTAGCCCAACAGGGCTTTATTTTTGCCATTTCTCTTCTCACCGATCACTTTTAGTTTTTTTTGACTGATTTGACTGCTGAAATTACTCCTCTGTTTCAGTTAAACACTAAATAATCTCAACTTGCATCACTGTCACATGACCAAACAGATGTTCAAAAACAAGACAATCGCAGCTTTTTCATAAGGATCCTTGATTAAATGTGCAGAAACATTGTCCGGTTAAAACGGCTGAGAAGTTCTTTAAAGTTTCTTCTTTCTTATACATATATATATAAAATCGATTAAACTATTAAATGGAATAAAAACGTTTACATCATAAAACATCTGAATCTTTCTAATCACAGCCAGCTGGTTCTGCATCAGGCTGTAACTAACCGACAAGAGACGAGGGAAAACCCTTCGCTCTGAGCCAAGCACCGCCCTGGGAGGGTTTTTAGAGGCCGTGCCAAACACAAACCTCATCCAGGGAAAACAAACACACCTGCTTGGATCACTAGAAAGCCCCTCAGAGGCAGCAGCTAAATGCCCCTTCCCCCCGAAACAGTAAACAGCTGAACAAAGCCAACAATGCAGTGCGTCCATTA